ATATATATATATCCCAATTTAATTTAATATAAAATGTAAATTTCTCTGTTGAGTGTAAGACTAATCTATACAATGGTATTGAAATTACACGCATAGTTAAGTGATTATTGATAATAATAACTATTATTAAAATGTTTTTTACGGTATAATACTGAGGTGAAAAACTCGTTCTGGGTGACGGAAAGAGAATTTCTCTTTTTAAGGACAAGGTCAGTTCGGAATTCTAATGATACACATGAACCTTTCACCATTTTCTAACCAACTGTTATTATAYTTTAGTCAAAAGAAAGTTAGACATTTGGATTTTACACCTATGCATTATACGATACTTACATTTTTTGTTTTGTTACAGTTGTTTTTCTATTGGTCAGYGAATTATATAAAAATGCGACTATCAGTCGTATTCGAATTGTTGTTGATCTTTTTGATCATAGCTTTTGCGGCCTACGGTAGAGTAGGTAAGTCTCGGACATTGTAAATTTATTCTCAGCAACGGATTATGAATTTTTTTTATTATTTAGTCCCAGAAAATAAAGACGTGTGGAATATTGGACTAAATAATGTTAAAGATCATTTAAAAGCAATGGGTCGAGCTAGACAAGCTACTCCTCAAGCAGCTCCTCCCAAYCGATACTGTGCTTGTTCCAATCTTATGTGTAATTGTTGCAGAGATTTTTCATTGCCAGTAGTTCCCATTAAAGGGCCAGGTAAATATATTTAAAAATAATTAATTCAAAAAATTCTATGATAAAACTAACTTTTAGTGACGTATRAGAACTATATTAGTAGAGATCTAGTAATAGTAGGTACATTTTTCTTTCGTTAAAATAAGAATAGTTAATCTAATTATATTTTATTAATTTGTTATATGGGAAATTATAAAATAATTACATACYCTATTGTCAAAATGTGTTAACTAGCTATTACAAATAAATWAATTAATTTTTAATACCTAATTGTGAAATTATAAAAATGAAAAACAAAACTAAAATGTTCATATTTAATAGATTTAAAATAATAAATTGTGTCATCAAAAATGAAAATGATGATCATACAATTAGTAATTTATATGTATAAATTTTAAAGCAATCCTACAAAAAAGTTTATCATAKTATTAATGTTTATTTTATTCTTCCATTTTCCAATATAAATCCAAATTGAAGTTAAATTCTACAATAACCGTAATATTATGAGTTATATATTATATATTATGATTTTGTATGAAACTGTACATTTTTACTAAATGCGTCATTCTATGTATATAATAGGTTGCGCATCATTGAAATATTTGAAAGGTGATCAGATGATGGTGACGATGAGCTTTGGGGACAGGGTTTTACGAAATACGACCATATCCGGGAAGAAACCAAAACCCGTGTGTATGTCTCTCCCCGGTGGTATATCGAAATTCTGTGGTCGGGTGTATGGTATCTCAAGAGACGGGGATCAGTTCAAAGCGTGTTTGGGACTTGAGCTTAGAGCTCTCGATGACGTCGAAGCCGCATTGAGGGTGTCATGTTTCCGATTTGGACCACAAGGGATGAAAGTTGAACCAGCTCAACCATTGCCAGCGTCGCAGACATTACAAGGGGAGGACGAGGACGACGARGACGATGACGACGACGAGGACGACGACGATTATGGACTCGGTGGCAGTGATGACGAGGAAGAGGAGGAAGACGACGCGGTGGACGAGGACGCCGAAAACGACGTGGAATCGACCGGTGATTATACTGGTTTCAGTGCGCTGAGCACCGATTTCCTGGACAGCCTGTTCGGTGGTGGCGGGGCCGAGGAAGACGACACAGAGACCAGCGTTAAACCGACGACGGCAAAACCCGTCGCGGTTACGGTAAAATCAAAAATAACCGCACCACAACAACTGACAAGCCAACAGGTGACGAGCGAGAAACAAACGAGCGCCGAATCAGTGACGTCCACCTCGTACACGGTGAGCGTCGTTCAAGATCCGGTGTCGTCGTCTTCCGAAGTCGTCGCTGAAGTAAGACCGACTGCCGTCACGCCGCTTGACGACAACCCGACCGACCGCGTAGAGACCGTACCCACGCCTGCGACGAACAAGAACAAGGACTACGAGGACGACGACGATGAGGACGAGGACGAGGACGACGGCGACATCGTGTCGGACATCATCGAAACGGCCGCGAGTGCCGTGGGAATGTCGGATTCCGACAAGAACTCTACGGCGGCCACGACAAAGTCAGTCGACAGACTAGCGACCACCGAAGTGGCTGCAGTGTCAGCGGCCGCGAGCACGACGGTCGGTAGCGTGCCGGTCGCCAAGGACTACGACGACGACGACGACGACGACGACGAAGACGGCTACAGCAGACGTTTCAAGCAGCGCATGCCGGTGGCCATCGTGCCCAACGACAGGCGAGGCAGGACCCACAGAAGGATGAGGCTGTCCTCGTCGGATGACGACGAGTCGACGATACATTTCATGAAGAAAGTGTAGAGGCCACTGCTCACGAATGGCGTGGATTACACACGTTTCATTTATTGTTAAGTTGTAAATAATATAATATACACTATATAATTTATTAATTTATTATTCGATGAAATCATATTGTCGTGAAAAAATATAATATGTTTATTTTACCATAATATGTTTATTTGCGTTTCGAGTGTCTTACGTCGGTTATACGTATTTGTGCTTTTTTTTTTTTATTATTATTATTTCCTGTAGCTCATAATATCGCATTGCACCGATTGTGTTTTCGTTGTTATGAGTATAAATAAAAACCAATAAATTGCAAAAAAAAAAAATATATATATATATGTATTCAAAAGTTGTCACGATGTTTTCGACCGTCCCGTTTTACCGCAATCGGTGCGCGATCACTTCCGTGACAGTGATGTGCAGGTCGGGCGCCGTAGTGTCGTATGTCTGCACTGTGGTGGTAGTAGAAGTGGTAGTATCGTCGTCAGCGGCGTCAGTGGCGGCGTCAGTGGCGGTCGTGGATGTGGTGGTGTTGTACTTGTGCATGTTCACGCCGTCACGGCCGATCACGAAACAATCGAATTCCAACACAAGCACTTCGGCGTGTTCGATGCGAGTGAGGAAATTGACGCAAGCGTGYAAGTTTCTTCCGGGCGTGTAGATATCGAACATTTTCATGCACATGTCCATCGACGGTAAGTACGGCACGGGAACTCGTARACATGCCGGCGGTGGGTTTTTAGCTACRAGCAAAACGAATAATAAGAGTTAGTGAAGACACATAATATTATTGTCAGGTGTGTAGGCACCTGAAGTGTACCAGCTATACGATCATTATAGCGTAGACCAGGGTACGTCCGCGTAGGTCAATAACCCACCAAATAATACATGCACGTTTCAACGAAATTGAAATTAATCACGGCGTTAATGACGATAATTGTATTATAATATACCTAATAGAATATCTGAACATCATTCAATTATAGATAGAATACCTAAGTGTATAACCATTGATAACTAACACTACTATTTGTTATAATCAATGAATAAAAATAATAAAATACTAGTTTGATTTTTTGAGCGCATGTAAATTCCACTGATTGCAACCTTTTTAAACCTTTTTTAATATAGGTAAATTCCACCTGTACATTTATTTTACTTGAACAAAAATTGCAAATTCCACTGGTACGTTTTTTTTTTTTACGTAAAAGTTTCAAAATCCAATTTGATTGACTAAGATTACACCATTTATGTGGGTACAGATTTATTATATAATATATTTATTGTATTTAGATACAATAATTAAAAAAAAAATCATATGATAATCAAATAGGAAAAAATTATAATTGTTAATAATAATTAACATTACATAGGTAATACGTAACGTTCCTACATAATTTATATACATATCATCAGTTATATACTTATATATACATATATATTATTATATTTAGATACCAATGTCTTTTTTTATCCAATATTAAAATAAAAGATATAATAATCAATTTTGATCACTAGTTACTATGAGAGTAGTTAGTATATGAGTATATGATATCATATCATCTGCGGTCCTTAAGTTGAAGTTTAGATAAGTCAGTCGAAAGTTGATGTGTATAGTTATACTAAAAGTCTAAAAATAATCTGTGGATTTTACCATTGGTGGATTTTACGTGTTTACAGGTCAAAAATACGTATCGGTGGAATTTACAAGTCATAAATTCAACCCTAAAATCGACTACCTGTAAATCGGTAGAATTTACCCGATTTCACCCGATTTTCTTGCTCTAAACTATTAATGATTGATGCTATGCGACTTCGATCTATGCACAATCAATTTTGAAACAGAATACGATTGTATGAAACTATAGACATAACTGTGTATATAAATTTCAATGCATACCGTGTAAATAAATTTGATAGAAATATCAAAAATGCATTTTCAGTTGTTCTACTATGGTCAATCTATGAATTACGATAACAGTAATAAAAGAATATTTTAAAACTGAAGTTGATACATTATACGAATAGGTACTTAACGATTATAATTATTATTGTATTACATAATAATGAATATTTAATGAGTAGTTTCTAAATATCTTGTATATTATACACGCGTATGAATAAATAATAATAACAAGTATGATACACTATGTGAATCATTAGGCGTGACTCATATTAGTCATATTTTTTGCCAGTACCTAATTGTTACTTAATAGAATAGAAGATAAAAGTAGTAGACTTAAAATACATATCTCCGTCATTTTTTGTATCTAGCTGCATAGGCGTGCGCAGACTTTTTTCGCAGGGGATGCCAATCACCGGGTCGCGGTGATATCGTCGGATTCGGGATTATCCCAACTTCTATTATCAATGGAAATGTACTTGATAAAAATTTAAAAAAAATAAATAAAATACGTAGCCTGAACTGTCAAAAACTTCTAATCTGATTTCTGTTTATAAAAATGTAAAAAAAAAAAACAAGCTGACTCCGCAGATCGCAGGGAATGCCATGGCATATCCGGCATCCCCCCTACGCACGCCTATGTCTAGCTGTACCGCGAACGCTACCGAACTTAACAGTTAAACATTTAAAAAATATTATTATTGGGTACTTTTAATTAATTAAATTAAATTTATATAAGTTCCTGAATATAACGCGAGTACTCTCTATCTATTTTTATATTGCTTATTTATATACAAATTATTAATTAAGATATTACTACCTTAATT